TGGTTAATTATTCATATTTTCCATGAGCTGATTCGCTACAGAGCTTACGACTGATGTATAGCACCGGCCGTTCCTCACCCTCTACCTCCTGGGCCAGGACCGCTCCAAGCCCCCTGTCCGATGCGTCCGTCTGCAGCAAGAAGGGGAGAGAAAAATCAGGAGAGTGCAGAAGCGGTCCGCCATACAGAGCAACCTTTACCTGGGTGAAAGCCTGCTGGCACAGCTCCGTCCACTGGACCGGGTCTGGAGCTTCCCTTTTAGTAAGGTCAGTCAGCGGGCTGGTGAGGTCCGAATGATTAGGTACAAACCTTCTGTAATATCCCGCCAGCCCCAGGAACTGCCTCACCTCCTTTTTAGTCTTGGGTCTCGGGCAGGTCGCAACTGCTGCCGTCTTACTAATTTGGGGACGCACCTGCCCGTGGCCCAAGTGGAAGCCCAGATACCGAACCTCCACCCGCCCAACCGCACACTTCTTCGGGTTGGCCGTCAGTCCGGCCCTTCTCAGCACTCTCAGTACAGCCCACACATGCTCCATATGCCGCTGCCAGTCATTACTATAAATAGTAATATCATCTAGATAAGCAGCAGCATATGTCGCATGTGGCCGAAGAATCTTATCCATGAGGCGCTGAAACGTGGCCGGCGCCCCGAACAACCCGAACGGAAGAGTAACGAATTGGTACAATCCGAACGGCGTGGTGAAGGCTGTTTTTTCTTTGGATAGAGGTGATAAGGGGATCTGCCAGTATCCTTTAGATAAATCCAGTGTTGAATAAAAACAAGCTGCACCCAGCCGATCAATGAGGTCCGTTCGACCAGGTAGGGGCGAGAACACATCCGCAAACTCTGCCTGTAGCTTGGCTACGTCAGCGAGCTGTGAGGGCGAGAGGTGATCTCCCCCTGGAGCCAAAGCTAGAGATTGCCGTTTAGTATTTACCTCTGGCCCGAGATCCTCCTCCCCACTCACCACCGTCGCTAGCATCACTGACTCCGCCTCACTCCATTTTTTTAGGAGGTTGAGGTGATAAATCTGACGTGCCCCGCTCCTATCTGTCCGAACGACCTCATAATTAAGATCCCCAATTCGCCGTGTGACCTCAAAGGGTCCTTGGCACTTGGTGAGTAATTTAGAGCAAGATGTAGGGAGCAATACAAGCACTTTCTCTCCCGGTGCAAATTTACGCAGCCTGGACCCCCTGTTGTACAGCCGGCTCTGCCTGTCCTGGGCCTGTAACAAATTCTCCATCGACAGCCGCCCCAAGGTGTGGAGTTTTGTTCTCAGGTCCAGCACATATTGAATTTCATTTTGGCTTTCTGAAGGCCCGTCCTCCCAAGTTTCTCTCAGGACGTCTAGCACCCTGACGCCCATAGAGAAGCTCAAAGGGGGAGAACCCCGTGGAGGCTTGGGGGACCTCCCGCACAGCGAACAAGAGGGGTTCCAGCCACCTGTCCCAATTTTTGGCGTCTTCGTGAAAGAACTTCTGAATCATGGTTTTCAACTTGCGATTAAACCGTTCCACCAGACCGTCTGTTTGTGGGTGGTAGACGCTGGTGCGAATCGACTTAATGCCCAATAATCCGTACAGTTCGCGTAACGTACGTGACATGAACGCCGTGCTTTGATCGGTGAGAATCTCCTTTGGGATTCCCACTCGGGAGATTAACCGAAACAGCGCGCCCGCCACACTTTTCGCCGAAATGTTGCAAAGCGCGACTGCTTCAGGGTATCGTGTTGCATAATCCACTAGGACTAACGCAAAGCGATGCCCGCGTGCCGACCGTTCAAATGGCCTGATGAGGTCCATACCAATTCTCTCAAAGGGGGCCTGCATTAGCGGTAAAGGGTGCAAAGGCGCTTTTGGGGAGGCCAATGGGTTTACCAGCTGACATTCACGACAAGCTGCGCACCACCTGCGCACATTCTCGTGAATGCCAGGCCAAAAGAATCGGGCCATGAGACGATTTAGTGTCGCTGCCTGTCCTAAATGTCCCGCCATTGGATTACAATGAGCCGCCTGGAAAAGCATTTCCCGACGGCTTTTAGGTACCAACAATTGGGTTGTATCCTGCTTTGTCTGAGTTTCTTGTGTCACTCGGTACAACCGCTCTTTTAAAACAGCAAAATAGGGATACGAGAGCGGACGGTCGGGATGGATGGAGAGGCTGTCCGTCGATGGTCTGAACCTGTTCAAATAACCGTTTCAGGGACTCATCCTGGGACTGTTCCAGGGGGAAATCATCACGTTCAGAGAGGGTTAGCCTCTC